AAGAAGATGGTTCTATAGAATATAAGGGAAGGTTGGAGAAATTATAAGAAATGTTGGAGAATTCAGGAAAGGATAATAACTAGATTAAGGTTGGGGCACAAAGGACTCAACATTACATATAATGGGAAAACATGAAACAGGAAGATGTGAATTCTGTGAGGAAAGTGAGACAATAGAACATGTAATGTTTAACTGTAGGAAATATCAGGTAAAGACTATAACTGTTAAGGAGTCTAGAACAGGAAAAGGAACAATTTAACATTATAAACCTTTTTTGAAAGGTTATTTTTTTACATGAATTATGAATATATATTTTTTTCATTTCTTGTAAGTTACTTTGTGGGGAAAAGAGTGTAGAGTTTTGGTGCTTTTTTTGTAAGTCTTTTTTTTTTTTAGCTAGTTAGTCTTGGTCCTCACTCCCTACTGGTTGGTGGAGGTAATGCACGTCCTTTCAACATACAGGTCAATCAAATAGTCAACATTGGAACTTGGCAGTCCGATAACAACATCCGATTAATAAAGGCATCTTGTACTGGGTGTAAATCTGAACCCAGAGTATTTCATTAAAAGATCCTTTCTTAATAAAGCCTCAGTATCTTCTAGAATATCCAGAGCTGCTCCACCTCCATTTCTGTCTCTTCTANTTTTAAGGCCGCATAACGAGGACTCTTGGAATCCGACCAGACCTTGGTGCCGCGCTATGACGTAATCGGCCTTCGAATCCGGTCTTCTAAGGATGCGTCCTAGGTTTTCGAACAGAGCAAATATCTCTGAAAGTTTCTGAACACACATGGCAGCTTAGGAAACTTTCCATAGCTCTCTCTGCCATTTTCTAATGAATTATTTCAAAAGCAGGACTCAATAAAGTTTCAGCTTCTCTTAAAATCCTCCAAATATTTCTCTCGTTTTCCAGCAGAGATCTAACACCCAGTAATGGCGTCTCAGCTCAGTTCAATAACATCTGAAAATACTTTTAGTTTCTTTAACCTGTTATTCAAGTTTTAAATAAAACAATCTGTCTTTTCAGTTTGCCTCCAGCAGGCGGTGCTGTTGCAGCATCTTTCACAGCTAAATGGCGAACTTTCTATTGCTAAAGACTAACTTGAATAATTTCTTTCTCACTATTCTTACCCACTCTTTAACATTTCAACTTACAGTAAACAAATATATTAAAACAAATAAAAAATATATTTAAAGGAAGGATTTTACCTGTTGGTTGTTACCTGTTAAAGAATCATTGCTCTTTAGATTTTAAAATGTTCGTTCTTCAATTTCCAACTATATTAAAAGTATAATAATCACTTTAAAAGTCAAAATGAGGAAAAGTCTGTTTTGTTTTTTACTCCATTTTGTTCTCTGTAGATTAATAAACAATTTCAGGCATTATCTATTTGGTTTTTTTTTCTTTTGGTTCCTTTTTCACATTGAAAAATAAGTACAGTTATATATGAAGACATAGATCTTTAAGAAATCCATGAAATTTTGCTCAATTTTAAGCCACATTGCTCTTGTTTGTTGTTTTTTTCTCATAACTTGCACATATATCTTCTATATTTTTTATTTTTATCCCGTTCTTACCTCCTTTAAGCCTGTATGCTTTTTTTCATGGTTTGGTTGTGGATTTGAGCTGTCAATTGAAAACTAAAGTCATTTTCATTGTTTTTGCATCAACCTGATCATTGAAATTTAAGTTAATTATGAACTGAGAACAATGTCAATCAGATAATTGCTTCAATCAGATCTTTAAATTAACACATTAAACAAAAATGTTTAATATTTTCAGAAAACTACAAAACTGCTAAAACAATTAGTTCCTCTAAATCAAGGTTAAAAACCTGTTTATTTAGAGTCTCTAACTTGATTTAAATTGTTAATTGAAATATTGTCACTTTTAGTTTCTATGTTATGTTTCCAACTCTTCTTTACCTGCCTTTATTTTTTAAATTCCATGTGTTTCCATTTCTTATGATTTATTCATGTAAAGCACTTTGAATTGTTTTGTTTCTAAAATGTTAGAAAATGTAAAATAGAAATGAATAGTATAGAAAAGTAAAATATGAATGAAATAAAATGACCTTGACTGTTTTCTCACTGATTTTATTGAAAGAATGATTAGGAAACTCTTAGAGCTGAATCAGAACATTGGCATCAATTTCAACTAAGTCAACTGTAAATCCATCCTGATCTCTGTGTCACATATTTACTGTTGATCCAGGAGGAAACACAGTTTAGAACCATAGCTGGTTTGTGGACTTTGTCATATTAAACAGAACAACTTCCTGCAGGATGAGTTTGATGATCCAGAGATCAGAACATGAAGTCATTGGACCGAGTCGTTCAGATTACTGTGAGAACAAGAGAAAATTAAAGTTCTTCTTTCTGTTTTCGGCTTACTTTCCTGGGAAGTTATTTCAGTGAAGATTTTCTAATGTTGAGACTTCTGGGATTGTTGAAAATGAGCAAGGATGCTGGCTGGTTTATAAAATATTATTTAGTGAAAAACTTTGGTTTAAAATCACCCGATCCTTCACAGGAACCATCATCTGTGTCAGAGGTCCAAATACACCTGAAAGCTGCTGGCTGCAGCAGAGGCAGGAGATTCAGGAAGAAACTCAGCTGTCATCAACAGAGAAAAGAGCTTGTTTTCTTTTTTTCTTTAGGCAGCTTGAGCATCGGCAGACCTTTTTCACAGGGGCATGTACCCCGTTGTGGATCTACGGTGCCTGGGTATGCCTGGGGCATGGATTTTTAAAATTTATTTATCCCTTAAAAAAAAATTATAATTTTCAGTCTGACTCTCTGGCATATGGGGAAATCTACAGAATGCATGTTTTCATTTTTTTTCTTCTTAAAATAGGCCTATAGACTACCACTTTAGTTAGAATTTAAGTCTGACACATGTGGACGGAGTAATCAGAATCCACTTGCCAGTAACGGCCACTGGGAGCAGATAGCAGCCTGATAGTTTCCTGTAACACAGAGTCAGGAGTTTGTCATATCTTATTATTATGAAACACGGTGGTCCTAGTAAAGACACACCAATTAACACCTTGATTGCACATCCTAAATGATAACCAAGTGGGGGGAAAAATGCCAGATGAGGCAAGAGAAAAATCCTCAGGAGAGATTAGAAGTGAGCGATGGATTCAGAAACTATGCCATGCAACGCCAGGTCCGCTCCAGTTTTTCCTTTTACAGTTGCACATTTCAAGTTTTCAAGTTCCTCTTTGCTGACAGATATTTAATGAATATAAATTGTGTCTTCATCAATAGTAGATTAGAGATGTACAATTAAGATCACAAGTGGTCCAATTAAACAGATCCATGTGATGATCAGTATTCTGGATTATAGCATCTATTTATATCCATTTAAAGTTTTAAAAGATGTGATTTATGGTTTAGAGTTTCCAAAATCAATGACAGGTCAAACACGTATTTATATCCATCTCCTTTATTAAGTAGAAACTAAAAGGTGTTCTGAACAATTTACAAATCTTTTTATTAGACGAAATAATTTTAAATTAATACAATAGGATGTTTTCTTAAACATAATGAAGATATTGCTACTAAAAAAGTATTGTTTGTATGTCACGATTAGATCTTATTCTAGATCTGTTCTATTTTCTGAGAATTTATTCAGCAGAAAAGTATACTGTGACAAACTTTAAAGATTAAGGCTGAACTGAAATAATCAACAGATTAAAATAAAAAAAAAACTTTGAAAATTAGCTAAAAATCATAATAAAAAAACTAATAAAGGAATCAAGCAAAATAACAAAATGATCTCATTCTTCAGAGGCTGCTAACAAAACAAATGACTTTACATTTTGGTTTATGATAAAATCTATTGAAATTAAAAATTACAAATTTATAATCATTTTCTGACATGAAAAAAGAATTTAAAGTATTTTTACCAAATATCTGGTATTATTTTAAAGCTAACTTGTCTGCAAATAATAAAGAAACGTCAGATTAACTGATTTTGATGTCAGACGTTTTAGCATCAGCAGATTTTCCAACAGAAAAATAAGGAAAAAGTTTCTCAGTGAAAGTGTCTCTGTGAGTGTAGATGTTAGACATGTCTTCAGGGTCGTAGAAGGACACCTTCCCCCTGTCATAGTCCAGCTGGACTCTGATCCTCTGGAGACTCTTCTTCGCTTTGAGAGTCTTACCAACACCATTACAGTATTTTCCATCATCATGCAGCAAACACCAGATTCCAAATTCAGGTGAAACACATAACTCTCCCTTCCTGTCAACAGACTCTTTAACCAAACCAAGTCTCCATCTAGGATGATCTCCAACCTCCACCTCCCAGCTGTGTTTCCCTGAGCTGAAGCCCTCAGAACCAAAAACAAATTTGTACTTAGTGTTTCTCTCTGGATTATCAGGAAGCTGCTGCTTTGTGTCTCCATATCTCACACTGGTCAGATCATCAGACAGATGCAGCCGTCCATAAGCAGTGTTTGGGTCCAGAATGACAGGACTGAAGTGGACGTTGTCCTTCATCTTCTCCCAGACTCTGAAGGACAGGTTGCCCAGGTGTTTGGCCACATCTATCAGAGCTCCTGAGACCAGCTGTGGATCTGACAGTGAGCTCTG